GCCATTTTTCGCTCAAAGCAGGCGTGGCTCAACAGAAGACCTCACGTCGTTGGACGCTGCCATGCACCAACCAGGTGGCGGTGCGTCGGCAGCCGCTTTGCAGCATCGTCTTGCAAACCTCAGCATGAACCATAGTGACCACCCAACGCGCTTCCACCCGTCAAGGCAAAATTCGTCAGGTGATAGTACCCCTGCTCAAGGCGGTGAGCCTGCCTATTTTGATCTTCCTGCATCGAATTACGACATGGATGCCCTGGCGAGGACACCCAGCTACAACACGGCTGTACGTACCCCCGCAGGTTCGCGGACACCTGGCGGCATGGACATGGATCTCCCCTCATACGAGATTGCGACATCGAGGCCAAGCTCTCCAAACAGGAGCAGGAGCAGCAGAGCTACGACCCCTAGTCCGGCTCGTAGCCTGGATACGCTGAATGAAGAGACATACCGAAATACACAGATGAATAGTAGAAGACAGAGCCCAAGGACCAGTGATGATGGAAGGTAAAACACCCATCTTACTCTCTTCCTCTCTCTCTCTCTCTCTCCCCCCGTTCTACTATCGGCATATGACGGTCTTTGAGGAGCCTGCGCCTTGCTCTTCACGCAGAGCGTAGCAGCCACCGAAGATGTCCTTTTCTTCAACACCACGGGCACTATTGCATTCTTCTTGAAGCATGGCCCGGTCGCCTTCAACTATCCCCACTCTCAAAAGCACATTATTCCCTGCTTTTTTTTTCAAATCTCTCCTCATGTTTACACGAAAGTACCTTTGCTTAATGATTCGGTTCTGTATGAGCAGTATGCACACCGCCGCACTTACGCCGACACTATCGTTTTCGTCGACCGAATCCGACGACTCGCTACCAACACATACCCCGCAAACACCTTCTGTGGGGCTAGCGGTCCCACCACCCGTTTTGGCTCGTCGAGGCCGCAGCTGCTCGGTCCGCTCAGGCAGCACTTTTCTGGAAGTCCCGCAGCCAAGAATGCGCAATCGCTCGTCATCATCTTCTTCTTCGTCTACGCCGTCTCTTCGTGAGGCAATCGATGAATTGGCTGGGTTTAGGAAAGCACTCAGGCATGTGGGGTGACGGGGGATATGTCTATTCTTCGTGTTTCCCTATTCTCATTTTTCTTTTTCCATTCTTTTTCCCCATCATTACACGTTTGTACCACCTTTTTTTTAGATTTTAGAATTGTGTTTCACTGGCATTAGTGTGTATTACCCTTGTTTATAGATTTCTATTCTTCCCCTTCCCCTCCAGGTCTCAGGTCGCAGAAGAGGACGACGGGGTTTCAAACAACGGATTATGGTCATGGAAGTGTTTATGGCTTTTTTTGGGGGTTTTTTTTTTCTGTGGTTGTTCATTACCAGCGAGTATGTTCTGTACGTAACCCGAGGATACCCACTATTTTCCTTTTTTTTTCTTCTCTTTCTCTCAAAATCAATTCAGAGATATTCTTGATGATTCGGCCATTTCCATCTATGTGCATTGTTGAAAGTCGTGGTTCTCTTGCTATATCACTAACTTGACCTGGTCTTTCAAAACCTGTGATACTTGACATCTCATATGACGTTTGAATGTTACAAAAGACTTGACACATGTTGCTACACAATGTAAATCCATCCGACATCAAGACAGGCAAATGATAATTTCATCCACTTGATTCTACTTGAGCAATACAAAAAATGGCAATCTAAACCCTCCTTCGTGCCCAAGAAGCCCCTCCCCATCTACTGTGGATAATGCTCAAACAAAAACCCGGCGGCCAACTCGACATTCCCGTCGGTAGCATTCAACGCAGCAACAGCTTCATGCCGCTGAAACCCCAGCACGACCAACTTCTGCACCTCTTCATCGGGCCACGGGGCACTTGCCTGGGGCAGCCGCGTAACCATACTCCGTATCTGATCCGCGGTGACATTCTGCAACGGGCGATTCGTATGCTGCGTCTGCATCTCAGTCTCCTCAGTCCTCAGCGCCCTCCCGAGCGCAGCCACCCAACCCGCCTGCACCGTCTCACACCCTTTCCCACCGTCTAGCTCTGCCACATGGACGATATCCGCATCGCAATCACCGGCGTTGAAGTACTCCCAGCCCATGACGCCGCCAAACCCTTTGCCCACATTGCGGTACTTGTCACGCAGCACGGCACAGTTGCGTGCGAGAGTCGCAAGCGAAACGTGGCCTGCGCCGTTGCCCGGGTTTGTTACTACGCCCATGACTACGCGTTCGGGCTTCCAGCCCGCGGCGACAATGGCGTCGTACCAGAGAGTACTCGCCGCGTCGCCCCATCCGCAGTAGAACTGCGTATTGTACCACGCCACCTCTCGCCCAAAGACACTGCATTCGAGCTCTGGGTAGCTGAAGCCGCTGAGGTGCGGCAGCGTGGGGTGGAGCGGGTTGGGGCTGGGTCCCGAGGCGAGCATGGGGCGGGGCGGGCGGAGATGCGCTGGGATCTTGGGGTCGGGCACGAGAGCTGTGGCGACGGGCGCGAGGGTGATGAGGAAGTGCTGGCCAAAGTCGGATCGGAGCCGCGAGATGAGGCGTGTGACTGTGGACAAGGGGATTTCTTCTTCCACGTCGAGGTCGAGGCCTGAGAGCTTGTAGCGCGAGATGATGGCGTGGAGGGGGGTGTAGTGGGCTTCGAACTATGGGCAGGGGGGGAACATGTTTTAGTTACTTAGTTACTCAAGAGGTCTTTTTTTTTGAAAGAAACAACAAGGGAGGTCGTACACTCTCGTCGTCGCCGCTTAATCTCTCATAGCTGCCTTTTGCTGCTCCGCCCAGCATGCCGAGCACCTTGACCCCGCTCCCTTGCAACCAGTTCACCTCACCCCATAGCTGATCGTACCGCGTATCGTCTGGCCGATGGTCGTTTAGTGTAATGTTGCCCGCCCCCTCGTTGAGATGGATGGCTGCGATAATGACATGGGTGATGCCCGTGTTGTTGGTCATCAACGGTAGTAACGAGTGGTAGTTGCCCTGTGAATCGTGAAACGTCTGGTGGTATACAATAAGCCGAGGGCCAGTTCCCGGGGGAAGTAACTTTGGTGCTGACGAAGCCATGACCTAAGAGACAACGTCGTCGCAACTGTCAAGGGATGGGCCTGGTAGGTGGATGCATGTCTACACCCAACGCGTGCCATAGGGCTGAAGTGGGGCAGACACGCTACGTCATAGCGCACTCGCAACACCAAAGGGCAGGGTCTCGATGCATTCTTATTTGTCGACATTCACATGTGTAGGCGATCCAATCATATAGAGTATAGTGCTAGTGTAACATTTGATGCATGTGCTCTCGTAACATATCCCGTCCTAAACGCCGCTTGCTGTCCGATGAGGTACAGCCCTAATCCTTGTATCCAGAACATAGCGGGAATCTCATGTAGACACTAACGTCTCGTGTGCTCTGCAACAATTGTGCAAGCCACCAAAATTGCGTCACAGTCGTAGCATCCTCCAGGGACCGCTAGTGGTAACCGTTGCTGTACTCGTGGCGCGTGTCGCCGTTCATTCCGCCAAAGTAGGGATGGATGACCGTTTGTTTGGCCGAAATGCGGCCAGCGGGGTCATATACAAGGAGCGCATCAAGCAGGTCAAGGCCCACCTCGTCAAGGTTGGTGACAATGTTTGCAATATCCGTCTTGGCCCACTTAGGGAATGAGGGCTTGAAGTCAGGGAAGGACGTCACACCAGGCCAATCCTGCTCGCTGGGTGTACCGAGAATACTGGTCTTTGTTAGCAATCACAGGTCTTGTGCAAGGGATGTGCACATACCGGAAGATCTTGAAGATCTCATCAATCTCAGAGTCACCGGGGAAGAGAGGCTTGCGTGTGCACATCTCAGCAAAGATGCATCCAACAGACCACATGTCTACACCAGTCGAGTACTGGCGGCCACCGAGCAGAATCTCCGGGGAGCGGTACCATAGCGTAACAACCTACTTTGGGTCAGAAAAGGGGCCTTGATTGTATATGCCAACCACCGTACCTCGTGAGTGTATGTTCGTAGTGGCACACCAAAAGCACGAGCCAGACCAAAATCCGCCAACTTGAGATTGCACTCCTTGTCAATCAACAGATTCTGGGGCTTGAGATCGCGGTGGAGCACTCGGTGAGCATGGCAGTACCGGACGCCCTGGCAAAGCTGCATCATAAACTTCTTTACAGTCTTGTCGTCCATGTTCAGTGTCTGGCCGGCAAGACCAGAGCCTTCAGGCAGAGCCTTGCCTCGTCCACCCATGCTGACTGGCAATGCCTCCATGTATTTCTTCAGATCAAGGTCAAGGAACTCGAAGACGAGGTAGAGCTTGTGACCATCGGCGTGAACGATATTCAGCAGGCGGACAATGTTGGGGTCGTTCATCTCCTTGAGTAGGGAGATCTCGCGGATGGCAGTCGAGGGCACGCCCTCATCTTCGGCTTCGAGACGGATCTTCTTGAGGGCGACAATGCGTTGGTCCTTTGTGGTCAGGTCGCGGGCCTTGTACACGACACCATAGGTTCCTGGCAGGCGTTAGTAAAAACAATCAGGCCTATCTCCGGAACAGATGCCCCCATACCCTCTCCAACCTTTTCCAACTTTTGGTAGTTCTCCATGGTGGCGGACTGCCGATTGCGGATGTTTCAGACGACAAGCGGTCAGACGTGTTTGTTTAGCCGCGTCCGAGATGGGCAGTGTAGTAGCAGATGAGAGTCTTGTATTTGGACAATCTCCCGTGACGTTTACCTGTGGTTAGTAGTCGTGAGGGAGCGAGGGCGGAGCCGCTGCGAGGGTCACGAAGCGGGAGAGAGGGTTTGGCGTTGGTGTTTGTGCATGGGAATTTCAGAGAGGGTAAACACCTCGCCGCATCGGGCAACGCGCCGCCATCAGCCGCAAACGCGAGATTAGTCAATGGCTCACTGGCCCCCCCTGTCCCCCACAATCCCTTACATGTGCCATTGCCCGTTGGTTGCCTGTGTTTGCAGTCTTCACGACATCTCTAGGCCAGGATGCATGATCTCGATCCCCATGAGCGGCCGCCAGACGGCATACGCAATGTCTACAAGAAGTATCAAAAAATGAAGTTGGATGCATTGAACAATGACCCGGACATTGTTGATCTGGCGAGCCATGACGCCTCTGCATCGACCACCAACACTAAAGTCCATGTCGTCAAAGAGTACGCCACCAAAGACTTGACCGCTATTTTCCAGGCTTTTGCTGGCCAAGGAGTAGCCCTGGATGATATGACTATTCCCGACTCAGTGCCAGTCTACGAGCACGATGACATGCCAGGTAGGAAACACCTGCATTTCACTCGCCATCTTTAAAAAAAACTCCCAAATTTCACATTCTGCCTCCAGCCCTGACAAAAAGGTAGGTCTCCACATCATCCCCAGTCTCCTCCCCGCAGAAATTCAATCCATCCTCTTATCCCGTCTGCTCCACCGGGACCTCTCGTCCCCAGCTCATCTCACAAACATCCACACTCACTACACCATCACTTACCCACCGTCCCACTCCTCTTTCTTCTCCATCACCCCTTCCTCCCCCACTACCATCACCGCACCCCTTGACCCCACAGTCCACAAACCCCTCTCCATCGCCCAGCTGCTCAATAAGAAGCTGCGTTGGACAACGCTGGGTGGCCAGTATGATTGGACTGCAAAACAGTATCCTCCAACGCCTCCACCACCGTTTCCTGAGGATACTAAAGGGATGCTGGAATCCCTGTTTCCCGGTACGAAAGCTGAAGCTGCGATTGTTAATTTGTATTCGCCAGGCGATACGCTGAGTGTGCATCGCGACGTCGCTGAGACTAGCTCTACGGGACTCATCAGCGTGAGCTTGGGATGCGATGCTATATTTGTCCTTGGTACCTCGCATGTTCAGGGCGACAGCGGCGAGGTGCGTGATAAGGTTCTAACGCTGAGGTTGAGGTCTGGTAGTGCGGTTTATATGAGTGGGCCCTCCCGGTTTGTCTGGCATGGTGTTCCACAGATCGTGGCTGGGACGTGCCCTGATTATCTAAAATTATGGCCTGGCGAGCAGACTGGAGAGTATCAAGACTGGGCTGGATGGATGGCGAACAAGAGGGTCAATCTAAACGTGCGGCAAATGTGGGATTGATGCTTGAACTGAGATATTCATTGATACGTAAAAAGCGTATTGGCATTATTAGGGTTGGGGGTATAGCACGATTGCATCTGTGTATGAGGGGGTATGTGTATACGCAGTAAAAGCCAACATGTCAACAAGCAACATTCAGCCGATTCTCTTTCCAAGAACCTGTTCAGCCCTTGGACACGACACCAGTTATCCGTCTAATTCTTGACTGTCGCAGCAGGCGCGGGAGTTGTGGCGCTAGCAGGCACAGCAGAGCCTGGAGCGGATCCAGTCTTTTCCAGTCCCTGTGTATGAAGGGGAGCAGGTTGCTTGTCGACTGGTGAAATGGGGCTAGTAGGTACGCTGGCGTCAGGCGCCTCAGCAGTAACCGTACCCGCAGCCTGGCGAATTACCTCCCACCACTGTTGTGCAGCCTGTGGCGTGTGTGCCTTGAATCCCACCTCGTGCGTCATGGAGAAGGCTCCACCAATCTTGCCCTTTGACACATCTTTGCCCTTTACGTTGAACTTCTGGCCATTGACTGCACCAACAATACAGTCAGGAAGATACAGAGATAATTCTGGAGTGGGATCCTTGGCAAAGTCATCGTCCGTCTTGAACTCGTGCAGGAACTTGGATGGCGTCACAACATAGTAGTTTGTATCATAGGAGCGCATAATCTTGCCCCTCTTTTCGAGTGAGCCTGAAATTAGAGGCTTAGTCGCGTTGTGGTGTTGATTGGGGAAGGTGATGTCTGCCAGAGTTCGTGCAGGAGCAGAGGGGTCGATGAGAACGTTGTTGTTGCGCTGGATGAAGCCGTTCCATTCAAAGTCGAGAGGAATGCGCTGAGACGTGCCAACCATGTCTCCGTACGCCGCTTTAGTGTGCTCGGCCTGTGTGGTGACCACTTGCAGGAATTGGCCCATACCATGTTGAATCTCCTGGATGATGTGGGCTTCAAACTGTGCGAATGAGTTTTGCACAGCGATGAGGTCTTGTCGGTTGTTGTTTTCTTCCTGGACCTGCTTGTACAGACGGTGGTTGATCCCACGTTTTAGAATGTAGGGGTCGTCGGTAGCCTTCATCTGACTGCCACTATGCGAGTCAAATGCGGCAGCATGTTGTCCGAGAAGCTCGATGTGCTTCTGAGTGAGCAGGCGAGCCTTGTCGACTGCCTTGCTGCCTTTGCCAGCGCCCTTTGTCAGCTCCTTGCTCTTGTTCTTGATTTCGCTGTGTAGACGCTCGAAGATAGGGAGGATGGCACTCTTGAGTTGCTTGGCTGTCTCATAGTGTTGATTGGAGATTCCCTAGCGCTGTCAGTAGAGCCCAGTTATCTCCTGGTGGAACAACATACCTGGGTGTTTGATCGGATGTTTTCAAACATGCCTGCAACACCACCAAGCGACTGGTCAAAGTGGTGGCCCTCCTTCAGTGGGTCTTTTACCGTCTGAATCATGTCAGCGTGAGTGTGGAAGGGATGCACATGCAGCACCAACCTTCAAAACCCGCTCATACTCCTTGCCGTGTGCATGGTTGGTCTTTTCGGTCGCGGTAATGTAATCTTCAAGGTAGCCGACTGCATGTTTCCAGGCTTGTAGCCGCTCTGCAAAGAGTCTGGTGACCTATGTATTTGTTAGTGATTTGTATGTTGGAATGGACTTGCAGCAGCTCACCTCCGAGGTGTCTTCTCCTGGAATGGCATCATCGTCGCCTGAGCGATTGGTGAATGTGCGCGATGGCATTTCACTCGTGGCAGAGGTGGGCGCCGACATTGTGCGTGTAGCGTAATAATATGTACAGATAGGAATTGAAAGTGTTTGAGGAGGGGCGTGAAAGTGAACGCGCTTAGGAGAAGCGTAGGGGTATTATGAGCTCCACGCCGCTCTAACTGGATTCGGTCCGGTTGAAGTGGGGTGTGCGTGCACTGGGGGTGAGATATGCAGGTATTCTCGTACAAAACAGTGGATCCCCATGCAGATAGTTGTCAATCGTGCAAAATCAGGGTCCAGCGAGAGGATTCGAGATGGATTTAAGCTCTTGAGCTCCAATCCAGGTCGACGCTTGGACTGTAGGGAGAAGCAGGGCACTCTGGGTCTAGCTACGCCCATGACGTCAACGCTGGCAACTTTGGACGCCATCTCCGCGATATAGCTCGCGATCTACACAACTATCCCTGAACAGATCCCGCGATGTGCTTTGGTTTGCCATCTGCCGTCGGTGTCCACCACACTCGTATGACGCAAGACTATGACTTCAGTGGCATAAGGGGGGACAATCTCCCACTCCCCTGGCCATTGAAGAATGGTTCGCTAAAAAACACAGCCTCATGAAATAGCAGTCCAGCCACAAATTGGCAATTGTGCTCCTCTAGCGTGCCTTAGCATGCACTACTACGTATCTCCTTACGGCCCGACGATGCTACCGTGCCATAGCCGACTTCGTTATGAACTTGATGGTGCTTCTTGATTTCCAAAAATGGCGGGGCACTCACTCACCCGGCATGCCAAGCTTTATGTCTTTGGGGACCTTTGTGCTTCGTATTTGGTGTAATTTTGCAGCAGAAAGTAGTGTCTTATAACCAGACATTTATTTATTCTGTGCTATATATCCTTAGACTGTAAAGGTATAATTTTTGTCAATGCTTGTGGATTGCACTATCTACTAGTTCACAATCGTTCATTGCCGACCCAACACTATCGTTTGAGCCGAGTAAAGACAATAAGTTTAATTTAAAGCTGAGGCCTAAGAGCTTTTAGTCAACAACCAGCTCCTAAGAAATAAAACCACTCCATCGTACGTACACAAAGCTACCTTTTGTGCACTGTACAAGGCCAAGTTAAGATGATTTTATTAGGATAGGTAGGTGGAAAATGCGCTCTGAGGCGTTGTTTTTATTTTGAACGACAGTAGGTCATTCCTACTAACATAACATGCAATCTTGGATAAAAGAGAACTCTAGCATAGTTTGATATATCTGAAAATAGTACTTAGATAGAATTTGGATTGCTACGCTCGACAACGATGATAGTTGTTCTAGCTATCGTAGCTATTCCGGCTGTCTCGATCTTAGCTTCTGTCGCTACGTTGAAACTTTACATCTTTGCTTTCCGAGGCAATCCTGCTACCAGTCGATGGCTTCTTGTTTCCCTTTAATTTAATGGGGGAACTAAACTGCCCCCACTAATTATGCGATTATAGCAGATAGGTAAGCTGCGCAGATTCAACTAAAATATAATGAAGTCGACAGCTAGGTTGGCAGATAAGGCATCTATGCTCATCAGTGATAGCGAACCTCTCAATTTTACATAAAGCAATAAGGCTATGGTCGGTTCGTCTGTGAGCCATGTTACAATGCAAAGCCATATGAAGTCTAGATAGGCTGACTGACTACGGCGCATGCAATGCGCCACCATGTCAAACAAGTGAGTCGACCTACTAGTCAAACTCACCATCTTTTATTGGATTACACTTATTGAGTATCTTTTCTTGTAAGGATGACTGCATTATGCAAGCACTCAGCCGATGCGCATCACGTTTCCATTTGTGGCAAAGGAAATGGAGGGGTTGCTTATCGATAAGAATTTCAAAAAGTTATCCCAGAGTGACGCAAACTCGCGCTCAGTGATTCTTCGCAACAAACATCCCACCCAACATGACTTCGGTATTCGGGCCCATCGCTGGTGAGTAGAGAAAAAAATTACGTGTGCATGGACATGTCTGACAACTTCTTCGTCCAGAGGAACACCAAGAAAAGTTCGATCTCGGCATCTGGCACGCGCTCTTCAACTGGGCCAACCTTACCATCGCCGTACAAAACCAATGGGGCGGTCCTGATTCTTCAGAAAAGCGCGACTGGCTTGCAGGCCAGATTTCAGAGCGTTTTGCAGCAGAGCCCCTGACCGATGCGGAAGATGTGGAAATTATGCTTCTGCAGGTCCTCGAGGATGAATTTGGTGTGCGAGTAGAAGACGATACCGAAGTCGTAGTCGCGCGTGAAATTATGACAATACGGAAGGAAATTGGCGAGGGCAGTACCGCAACGGTAGATGCGCTGCAGAAGAAGTGGGAGGCGAGAAAAGGAAAAGAGGTTGCGACTGGCAGTGTAAACGTCAAGGAGACCAACCAAGAGGGCGAGTGGGATAGTGTGGATGAGGAGAGTGACGAAGACGACGACGACACCGAGATGACGGATGCGCCTGCGCTCGTGCCCGCAAAGCCAAAGACCAAGCCGGAGCCAGAGGTTGACGAAGATGGTTTCACCACAGTTGTTGGCAAGAAGAAGAGGTGAGAGGAGGCATGATTGCGATGAAGAAGAACCATGCGCATCCATCATAGACAAGGCGTTGCCTGGCGGAGGCGGGTCCGCGAACAGTGCTCATGGCAGATTATGTGATAGGCGTGCTATGTACAACGTGGCCGCCAACTACCATGTTGGATAGAGCGGGATGATATACTCTAGGGACTTTAAAAAACGAATCTAAATACAAGTGCCATATCAGCTGTCTTGCACTATCGTCACATGACACGTTGGTGCTGTTTTGTGTTGATGCATGGTGGCCTTGTACCTGACTGCGCACATACGCACCCGAAAGCTAGCGCATTGGCTTGCGGAGCATCATGCATGGCCCCGCTCGTACTGCTCTGAACCCTTGATGCAGCTGACCAACGACTCATATCCTTAACCTCACCGCCTGCACACCTTTGTACTATCGCTCCTCTTCTGGAGCATCGTAGCCATGGATTCCGCCTACGACCACATCCAGGAGGAGAGCTACCCCACCAAGCAGTCCACAGGCGGAGAGAGCACCCACAGCGAGACGGCCAACAACTTCAACGCCGAGTTCCAGGATGCGTACAAGGCCATATCAAGCAGTCCATGGGCGGCGAGACTAGGAGGCTTCTTGGGCAATGTGAAGAAGCAGGTAAGTTGCATGAAGAGCGAATCGGGACGACCAGCCGCTGACACCACGCGACATAGGGTGAGCAGTACTACGATAATGCGAGCAAGCAATATGCGCCCTTGACCAAGAACGCGACAGCGAGCGTCTCCAACATTATCAGCCATGCCCGAAAGATTTCCCTTCAGCCTAGCGAATCGTCGGCCTCCAGATCCGTCCCTTCCGGGCAAGATGACCCTGCAGAGAAGGCAAAGGAAGAGATAGAGGCACATCCGGATCGCCCCGAGTCTCTGGTTGCAGATGTCGTCAAGGAAGCAGAGGGAATGCTGGCGATCTTCAGGTCCGAAGCTGCGAAGCGTCTCAAGGACGTTGAGAAGGCAGAAGATGCGGCCGACGAAGCCCTCCTCAAGTTTGGCACCAATATCCGCAACTTCCTCCGTGACGCCGTTACTATTGCACCACCCGAGTCTGGCTCTGAAGCCGCCAAGAACGGCGATGTTCTTTTCGAGTCCAAGGACAGCAGCGGAAAGAAGGTCGTCCATGCTACGCGCTTTGATGCCCAACTCCACGTGATCCACTCGACTCTCGACTCTTTCCTCAAAGACCCCGCTAGCCCGGAGTGGGAAAAGTGGAAGGCCTCGTTCGACGCGGAAACCAAGACAGATGCTATTGCTAAGGATTTGGAGAAGCACGAGGAGTTGAGGAGTGCCATGGAGAAGTGCGTCCCAGAGAAGGTGGAGTACAAGGTTTTTTGGTGCAGGTACTACTTCCTGCGCCGCGTCATTGAGAGTGAAGAACAAAGAAGGAGAGAGATGCTCAAGGGTATGTCATCAAAGAATATGATCTGTGCTGCAAAATAATGTATAGCGCTAACACCAACCAGCTTCCACATCCGTCCCCGACGAAGAGGTCGCATGGGACGAAGACTCCGAGGAAGAAGAGGATGACGATGAGGATGAAGATGATGAAGAAGAGGAATCCGAAGAAGACTCGGATGACGATGACGAAGATGAAGACTCAGACGACAACACAACTGTGGCTGCCACCTCCAAACCCACAGCAACTACACCCAAGCCCGTTTCCAAGGACCTTGCCGCCTCAGTCAATACCCTCAAGCCCACAAGCGAAACTAAAGCACCAGCCACCCAACCGCGCCGCTCCAATGATGAGAAGAGCGTGGCCGACAGCGATGCCAGTTACGATCTTGTGAGCGGGGCAACCAGCCGCGCACCAGGAAGCCCCCAGAACGACAAGAAGAAGGCGGTTGCCGAGGAGAGCGACGAGGAGGATTGGGAGTAAATGCTCTCTTTTCTTTCAAACTGTGGTGGAAGGCGATGGCACGGCGGGGATATCACTATCGGATCGGAATATGGGCGTTTATTGGCGTTTCTTCAAACCCGGGTTCCCTTGGGGGAACGGTAGTTTAGGGTTTACTACTTCCAATGAGGAATACGGGGTACATGATAGTTAAATGTGTATGCTCCCCATTGGGGGGGGGTTTTTTTTTTAAAAAAAATGCTTGTGTTGCGCCCTTGTTCTATGCTGTGATATTTCTATGTAATTCTATGCCGAGCCATTGAGAATAGTGGAAAGTGGTATAAAACGCCCCCCGCCTCGTATGTAGCTTATGATGACTGACTTGTTACAAATTTTCATGAAAAAGCAGCTTGCTTGCATCGTCCATCCCATCTCATTCTGCATATCGTGCGTAATTATTTCCCACTCAATGCCATCATCTACCTCTCTACAGTTCCCGGCGGCGTATCCGGCGGTGCACTGCCTCTGAACGAGTGTCCTCTAGATACAACCTCGTGCGGGTGGCGCGAAGGAGCCGGAGCGCGGAAACTAGGCTGCTTGAGTGTCTTCAGTTGACC